GAGTTGCAAATGCTCCATGCACATCAGGTTTTCCTTATGAATAGCTCATAATAGTACTATACAATGGGATTGTGTTTTTTTTAAGCACCAAGCTGAGTGTGGTGGTAAGTGTAATGTGTTGGTTGACCCTGGATGCAGGGCCCTCATATTGATATTCATCTCCTCCCCTCTTTAATATGCTGCTTATATCAAATTATATTATTAATATACTATATTATTATATTAAAGCTGGGTAGTAGTTTAAGGGTACTTTCAGACAAGTATTTATTTCTTGTTATGGACACATTATTCACACTGTAACGTATTGTGATATTACCTTCCCTAATTGATAGTTCAAATCCATGGCTGGGAATGCAGATAGGCAAAAAGTTCCAGTATGATTTTGTTAATACATGTTAAATATTTAGCAATGCCTCATAGCAAGATATTATTTCATGTAGATATTCAATGGGATTTGTTCAAGTTTCCAAATTACCCATTGGTGTTATTTTAAGTAGTAACATCTGTTGAAGTGAGTTGCAGTTCGTGAAAGCTTTTGTCTTTTAATAAAATGTGTAGTCTGAAAAAGTACTGTCAGATTCCCTCAGGTACTGAAAAAGTACTGTCAGATTTTTGGATATCATAGACTAACATGGCCCTCCTCCCACAATGTTTAAATGTTTAAGTAGTATCTCTGAGTCCTGCCATTACAGTCATAGTCCTGCATTAAAATGCAGCAATGATGTTCAACCAATTCTTGGAGAAATGTTACACAAACACTTTTAAATATGGGAACAGCAACAAAAACAATCACACACTAGCAATTAATAGATTATTAAAGTAGATAGCTAAAATGATGCACTAAATGCTTTCCTAAAAAAAAAAAATTATCAGCTTCTCAGAAGCTATGAACAAGGAAGTATGAAGGTCCCATGTAAATATTTCACCTTCCCCATGGCTGGCTGGGGAATTCTGGGAGTTGAAGTCCACTCATCTTAAAGTGGCCAAGTTTGGACAACACTGATCTACCCCAAGTCTATGAATATATGCAGAGCAGCTGATCTGCTGCCAAGTTGGTGTGGTATCACCACCAGAACACAATCATAATTTCCTGATCAGTGTCTTCAGTCATTGGAGCCTGATTCCATTATTTTCAGAGGGAACATGTTTGCTACGTTACAGATGGTGGTCTTGTCTCCAGTTTTTTGAAATGGGAACAAGGGCCGCTCGCTGCCTCCACACCATCTCCACAACCCACTCATCCTCAAGTCTTCCCACCCGTTCTTTCAAATTTGTAGGAACTGCATCTTCCTGCACTGAAATATTAATTGCTACCACCCATTTGACCACAACATCACTGCCTGCTCTTGCTAATCAAGATGGACAAGGGTTAAATCAGCTTGGCCCCACCTCTCCAAAGAACCTGGTCCTATCTTCAAACTGCATAAACTGAAACATGCCCATTTTTGTTGAATAAGCAGGGCTCATGTATGGTCTTGGGTGTTGGTTATAAAGTAACAAGCTTATGATCCCTCCTGTTCTTCTCTGTTCCCACTTCCCAGTTTGGATCTTTTCTTTCGCTGGTTATTTGACACCCACTTTGTGGATCAAGCAGAGCTAAAATTTCAGTAAGTATTGCTGAACATTGCGAGTGTGTTTTTGTGAGATGGTTCACCAATTTTAATGTGTGGGATGGTTGTCTCTTGCTTGCACATGACACATGAAGGCAAGTGGGCCATTATGATTGCATATAGCCTTAGTTCTGAGGGCATAGTTCTGGTATATTATGCTCGCTCTCTCTCTCCCCCCCCTCTCTCATTCACCCTTTCCTGGATTATTTTTTTAATGCAGGTGTGTTTTTCTCCCTGATAATGGTGCTTTCTTTGTCAACTACGTTGTCACTTCCAGCCTGACTGGGACAGCCATGGAGCTATTGCGCATCCCTGGACTCATCGTCTATGCCACGCGACTCTGCTTTGCCAAGTCCGAACCTGAACGGCTGCACATCAAGCGGGTTTGCTGGTTTTTTATTTCAGGCATTTGAAACCTTGCTTGTAGGATTAGAAGGCTAAGAAGCCTCCTGAATGACTGGGATTCTGCATTAACAGATTATGTCCAGCAATACTCTTAAAGTGGTGCCATAAATCTCTAGGACATTTCCCCTAGTCAAAGAATGGGAGGTTTTGTGGAGCAAGAATCTCATGAAATGCTGTTTGAGAACAGTCAGTGTTTAATCATTGCTTATTATCTTTAGCCTGCTAAAAGTCCCATCTCATTCAAACATAATGCTAAGTCATAATGTGCCTTGTTTAATTATGTCTTAGCATGATGTAGATGACCTCCCCCATCATGGGTTAGCATTATTGCAATGTAGCATGAGTCCCAAAGCGTGAACAGAAGCATCCTAGCTTAGTTTTAGGTGTGAATGCAGTAATGAATTTATGATACAGTTTACAGGAACTACTTTTCAAGCAAGATTGTGGAATCATAGCTGGTTCAGTGCAGAAGTTAGGCTTAATTGTTGCTAATTATAAACTACTTACAGTCCTAGTTTTGAAATGGTTTAATAGCAGCTTAAATCAGGAGTTGGCAATATGTGCCCATCAGCACCCAGAAATCCCTCCCCTCATCCTGGGTAGTATTTCTGGATCCTCTAAAATTAAATAATTTAAAATGTTTCGTTAAATTACTGAAATCTTGTGAAATCACTAAGAAGTGAATATAGATGTTTGTTTATGTTGTGTGAGAGGTTGTCACCTGAAAAAAGGGTTAACTCTGCATAAAGAAAACAAACTACTGTTAGCTATGCGCAGGAGTCTGCTGTCCCATCCAGTGATTATTCATTTGACTCCATTCATAATAAAATTAAAGGTAAGGTGTGCTACTGTGTTTTACCCCAGAATCAAGCCTATGAGTTCCAGTTTGGATTGGAGTATGCCTGGACCTGTTGCATATTTGCTGTGGTGATGACCTATAGCATCACCTGCCCCATTATTGTCCCCTTTGGTAAGTAAATACACAATTCCTCCAAAATTCCTGTTGTTGTCAGTAACATCTTTATAGTCCTAGACCCCAGCTGACTGCAGTTTAAGGAAACACTGCAGCAGTAAATGAACAAATCCAATCCACGTGATGGCTGTTGTCTGCCTTCTGGGTCGTATCTCTTAATGGATTTCTGCAAAATGGAATCAAACAGGTTTTGAGATAGAGACCTGTCAATCTATAAAATAGAAAAGCAGTG